TATTATTTTTTCATTGAGATTTTACCATTTGACACATTATTATATAAATAAATTACGTTAGGTTTTTAGGTTCCTATGACATGGTTTTCGCGAGCACAAACTAGTAATTAAAGGCATGAGGCATAACAAACACACAAGAAAAGAAAAAACTTGTGAATAAAAGAAAATGTCTTATTTGTTTAAGGTCTAATAATGATTCAAATCGTTTAAATTGAATGGTTTATTTTATAGTCTAAATTTTTAGTTTTTGACCGCAATAAGTTTTTTTATTTACATCTAATAATGTTTGAAAAAAGTAATATTTTAATAACAATACATATTCTGGTTAAAATCACTAAAAAAATTTAACCACCCACTATTATTCTAAACACGGAAAAAAAACATACTTCAGATGAGTACCCTGGTTAAGAGATGCAAGCTCAACGAGGAGGAACAATGGCTCTACTGACTACTGGGCTTGGGTAAAGAATCAAAGAGTACACATATCATGATCATGATCACGTGTGGAGGTTTCTGTTGGGTGGGGGGTGGTGGGGGGCTTCCATGTTCCTAAAATCCAACCTAATGAGAATGTCTTCAAGCATAGATGAAGACAGACCAACTAAAAAGCTGCGGTCTATGTAAAAGCAATGGATTCTGATTCCCAAAGCCTTTTCATCTCAAGTTTTTTTGTGCAGGTCTTCAGATCAGACTCTTGGCAGTAATGCATTGAAATTTCACCATCCCCCCAGTCATGGACAAAATGTACTTTAACACAGTCGTACTCTGTGAGTAATGCATATTCAGCCATAACTCATCACTAAGAACCCCATTCTGCAATAGATCATTATAGAGGGGCATCATCAGGAATCCCGATGCTTTTTTTGGATGTGCATCAGAAATCCCAATGCTGGATGGATCAACAACATATATGGTCTTGTAGCAACCCACTGCCACGCCATTTTCGTGGTTTGAAAATGAACATATGGCCACTTGAAAGAACAAAACCGTTGGTACAATTGGTATGTAAGCTTCTCTTTCCTGCAATCTCTACTTTCTCAAGCAAAAAGTCATGTCCATTGTCAGAGAGAACTAGATTAGAAACACCAGTAATCAAATGCGCCTAATGAAGATAACGCAATGAGCAGACTAAACTTTGTCAATAATTAGAAATACCAGAAAGGCCGGCTGGTAAGGTGGGCTAAACTCAAATGTCAGCAAAAGCACCCCCCTCTCCCTCTCTCCCCCCTTCTTCTAGGTCTAATATGTCAACCAACCCCAAGTCATCCCATCCCTCCCACCCACATCAGAAAGTGTTGAGAGCCAACATGGTATGTGCCTTCATGAGGAGGGAACTCTCTTCACCCAAATATCATCGTTGTTACAAATAAATAACAGAGATGAATGCTAAATACCCAACTTGATAAGTATCAGGTTTGAATGCCGCAATATCATGGTTCTAATAGAAATTCCCAACTGAAACAATGAAACCAAAATACACTTGTCGAAACTGACTACTAGCCGCAAACAAGAACGATTTGATATCCGAAACACGCCTCAACTTCGTGATCCAACGACAGATAGAACTTAGTTTTTATTAGCAGATCACTTGTGAACACTCTGGTGCCAAGCATATTTCTTTTCAAAGCAGAGATAACTGAACTGGGACAAGTTAATCCCAGTTTATGTTCAAGATCTGGATAAATATTAACACTAAAGCCGATCCATAATTATTCCTATAAAGTGTACCACACACAGCCAGTGTCATCAAGTGGAACAGAACCCTGTCTACAACATGATGAACTAACGATTGTGATTGAACCAGACAAAATATAGCGACCACTAAATATTTTTGGAACCTCGCCACAGATTAAGAACTTGGAGATTTTAACGTTCTAAGGATCCAGAGATCATGTACATACTCTCAAGTCACCAACTGGCGATAGGAGATGGCCATAAAAACCTAATGGAAGACACCTAGGACGCCAAAAAAAAAAAAAAAAGGCCTTCCACCATGAAAGGAGGAAGCTTAATGATCCATTTACAGCAAAAAAGTGCGAGAAGACATTTTAGAAATAAGTTGGCAGATGCAAGGTCACAAGTTATCCTCCCCTATACCTCCCTTATTACAAAAGTTGGGTATGGCAGTTGTAAAGTTCCAAGTTCTCCATTCTTCCTTGCCCCCATGTGTGACTATGCACTCCATAAATTTTTCCTGCTTCATGACAGTGCCGGATGGTACCATTGACAAATGCATTAGAGCTTACGCTAAATAGCAGTAGCTTTTTTGACTGCTTATCTAAATTCATTAAAAAGTGAAAACTAAAGCTACACACACACAAAAAAAAAAAAAAAGCAAAGCCAAAAATCTCTAAGACAAACAGAAGACAACACACTTCAATCAGGAAAAGCATCAAAAAAGGATTACATCGAAGGTACGGTTGGTTAAAAACACTAAAGCTTACACAGTGCACTGTAAAGCAATCTCCTCCCAAAGACATCCACCATAACAAAGAAATTAATCTAAGCTCAATGGAAACCGGCACATAAAAGACTATTTCTGAGATTAGTATCATAACACCTGATACTATGATAGTCACAAGTACACTTCAAGATACTATTGAAAGTTTTTTATTTACATTTAACTTCAAGGTGTCTGCCTGTTTCCATTGAATTGCCTACGACATGAGCACGCCCCCAAGGACAAAGACACAAACAACTTCCACTCAGAGAGGGGAAAAAAAAGAGGAAAGGACTTTCACACTTCAAGAATCAGGTCACGCCTGAAATGAACAAGCTTTGGTTTGTTCATTTCAGGCACATAAAGCTCAATTAGTATTCAGGCATCCATAACTGGATTGCATCATTGGAAAATCCTTAATTAACCAACAATATGCATGAGGAGGAGTTGTACTTTCAGTGTTGGGACAAACCAGGATAAGAGGAACCAGCCACCCCATTAGCAGATTTTACACCCCACCCCCAGGATACCAGTTCCAACTTCCAAGAATTGCTTGAAATCAGCAAAGGTTCAATTTTCTGTTGCTAAGCCTCCTACCCTATGAGAGCAGCACATATATGCAAAATCCTCGGTATTATTTACTGTACTTTCTTATAAAGCAAGGATGCGGTAACTGAGTGTTACTCAAAATATACCATTACACAAGGCCACTTTAGCGTGTGTGTGTGTGTGAGAGAGAGAGAGAGATTAAAAGTTCATATAGGTTACCACGCCTCAAGGTTAACGAAACACAGAGATATATCCAAGCTTGCTTCACATATGTTAGGACTGAATATTCCACTAGCTGATACATCTTTCAGCACAATATTTGTCAATAACACCAACTCATGAATCCTGATAATATATATGACTTTCTCCATGGAGATGTTTTCGTCTATCCATCTTGGCATTTTATTTAGACAAGGCACAAGAAGAGATAATTACGCAAAGGGTGGAACTAAAAAGGTAGTACTGAAGGTGGAGGTATTGAAGGAGAATTATGAGAATTACCTAAAATTGTGTTAGGGTGGGGCCAGTTGCTTTATGAATGTGGTCATCAAGTTGTGGTATCAATCAGTGACTGATCAAATGGTAAAATTCCCATCCTCTTTTTTTCAGTTATTTCTTTTTGGTTTAAAAGAGAGGGGGAAAAGGTTATCTCTAGCAGTCAGAGTAGCCTGCCACTCCACCCCCACCAAAACCCAAAAAAACAACCCCAAACAGAAAGATGTATAGGAAGTGTTTGGATTGCCGGATAAAGGAGGTTAACATATTTTGGATGGAATAAAATTTATGTGGGTCCCAGATAGCCCATGATGTAAAATCTGAGTTTTATGGTGACCCGAAATGAACAGTTCATTTAAACCATCATACATGGGTTTTGTATAACCCACGTGAGGGTGGGTTAGAACTCTACCGGTGGGATTTCTATGGCAAATGACTAACATACCCCTGCTTTATTAGTTAGCCCTACAATTGCACCTCGTCCTTTTCAATCACAGCCGCTTCTTCTGGAGCTCTCCTATCTCCCACAGCTCCTATATTGCCCAGATCTGCAGAGGAAGACTCTGACCCAACCAAATCTGTGTTGCTTACTAAAATATTTCACACACGTTATGCATTTGATAAGTTTTCGTCCACTATTTCACCATATTTGTCTGTCGATTTTTCTTCTTTAATTCCTCATTCCATGGTTTAACAAAAATGGCATCTCACTTGGTATTGCCATTGCACAGGTTTATACTTTTTGTGGATTTTTGCTAGTTTGGACAAGAAGTTGAACAAATTACACAAAATTGCATGTCTTTGAGAAGTTTTTTAAACTATCTATTTCCCCTTATTTTCTTCAAACCTCCACAACCGTCCATGGCAGAGCCACCACCATCATTGACGGAGTTTTTCTCTCTGGCATGCGGGTTTGAATTTGAACTTTGAAGGCCAATCGACATGACTTTGTGATAATGATATATATTTGGATGGATTTTTATATTTGGAAGTAAATATTCTCCTTGGAAAAGCTTGTAGGCCAAATTTTGTAACCTGAATATGAGGTTGGATCCAATAAGGTAAGGGGTATAATGGTCAAACTATACTTAAAAAATAATTTTTCACATCATTCATGTCCATTTCCCACAGAAGTGAAAGATTTGTTAACCAAACATTGGCTAGGACAAGAGTATCCATATATTTCATTGGCACCAGGGAGGCAATAACTGCCATTCACTGTACTAATAAAATGCCAATTGTTCGGAAAGAAGGGATGAACATCAATCAAGGTGGGCGTAGAGAGGAAGGACTGTTAGGATACAGTCAAATAACCTGCATTTTTTGGAGTGAACTGAGAACAGCGGTTACTAGGCTAGTCTTTTCGCATGTATTTATGTATAAACACAATAAGCAGCTAGAAAAACCAAAAACTTGGGACGTTGGGATCATTTATTTGGGAAGATGAAACTACCCCAACCCAATACAAAGACTAGTAACCATTTCATTCACCAATTATACAAGAAAATGTCTAGGGCTCACAAATACAAAACATAAATTAGTTAGAAAAGAAAATATAAAAACCAACAGTGTAGAATGAATGCTGACAACCAAAGCAAGAGCTTAATCAAATTATTCCCATTGCCAAAACGTAATATGCCATATTGCTAGCAAAATCATTTGTACAGATTACAGGAACACAATGTAGACATCGAAAACATCCATCTACAGCTAAATTTAACAGTAGAGCAACTACACAGATCTTAAAAGCACATACAGAGCAACTAAAAAAGAAAAACCTGAAAAGTTACTTCATAAGCGCTCCATATTCTTGAGCAGCTCCACTTCACATACATATCAGTCAATTATCGTCACAATCACACCATTCTGATCATTCAAATCAAACTAGTGCTGTGTCCATTGTATGTTCTTGATGTCAATCCCTTCCTTCACCATCTCATAAAGCGGACTCATTTCCCTCAACTTCTCAACCTGCTGCACAGTCAGCTCCACTGCCCGATCAATCTCCTCCTCAGTCGTAAACCTCCCAATCCCATACCTAATCGAAGTATGTGCCATGTCCTCATCCACCCCCAATGCCCTCAACACATAAGATGGCTCCAAACTTGCGCTCGTGCACGCACTCCCACTGGACACTGCCACCTCCTTCAACCCCATCAACAAGCTCTCCCCCTCTACATATGCAAACGACAAGTTCAAATTCCCTGCATACCTACTTTCCACACTCCCATTCACCACCACTCCATCAATCTTTTCTCTAATCCCATTCAAAAGCCTCTCTTGCAAAGCCCTAATCCTCTTGTCATCATACTCCAACTCCTTCATCGCCAATTCGCAAGCAGCCCCAAACCCTACAACTAACGGAGTTGGGACTGTCCCACTCCGAATCCCCCTCTCTTGGCCACCTCCATTCATTTGTGGCTCAACCCTAATTCTCGGCCTCCGTCTCATGTACAAAGCTCCAATTCCCTTCGGCCCGTAAATTTTGTGTCCACTCAACGACATCAAACTGATATTCATTTTCTCCACATCAATCGGAATTTTCCCTAATCCCTGGGCCGCATCAGTATGAAAAGGAACATTCATTTCTCTGCAAATTTTCCCAATTTCCTCCATCGGTTGAATCACACCAATTTCATTGTTCACCATCATGACTGATACAATGCCCGTATCGGGCCGAATTGCGGCCCGGAGTTCATCTAAATCGACGAGACCATCGGCCCTAACAGGGAGGTACGTGGCGTCGAAGCCTTCTTGTTGGAGATGGCGACATGAATCGAGGACGCACTTGTGCTCGGTTTGGGTGGTGATAATGTGACGTTTCTTGTCTCGATAAAAGTTCATGACGCCTTTGACGGAGATGTTGTTGGACTCGGTGGCGCCGGAGGTAAAGATGATTTCTTTAGCAGAGGCGTTGATTAAGGCGGCGATTTGGGACCGTGCCGACTCGACGGCCTGGTCCGATTCCCAGCCGTAGAGGTGGGTCCTGGAATGGGGGTTTCCGAAGCGGGAGAGGTAATAAGGGAGCATAGCGTCTAAAACCCTAGGGTCAACTGGGGAGGTGGCTTGCATGTCGAGGTACAGTGGTCTTCCGGAGATTTTAACGCCTTTCATGCTAACTCCGGATGTGTCCTCTTGGTAGGGTTCCGCCACGGCGGTAGCGGTGGAGAAAGGGCGGAGGTAGCGGGGTTTCATGATGATGCGGCGGAGTTTGCTTGTTAGAAGCTTCGTGGCCATCGTTGATAGATGGGCTTGTGGCAGTAGCGTGAACGCTGTGGTGAAGGTTAATGTGTGAGAGATACAGAAGAGAGAGTTGGAGCACGGCGTCGTGTACAAATAAGACGACGTCGTATTGAACTTTATTCGTAATATGCCAACATATTGACGCTGCTAACAGTCAAAACGAATTGTCATGTCACAAAAAATGCCGACGTGACCGAGCAAAAATGAAAGAAGGAAAAAATATTTATTTTTTATTATTAAGTAATATTATTAATTAATAGTAATATGTAAATAAATAAAAAAGATAAATTTCATATAAATTAATGGAGTAATTATTTATCTATATAAATATAAATAAATAATTATTCATTCTTTTTTTATATAAGCCCCAAACTATCTAAGTAGAATTTAGTAGATTTATTATTGGTTCCTCATCTCATACCATCGTAGATGAATATTTTCTTGAGGGAGGGAGAGAGAGAAAAGCCAGACGTCTCTCTCCACAAGAGCTAACTATGTATATGAAGGTGGCTTCTAACCCACAAAATAGATTCCAGATCCAATCTTAGATTGCAGAATAAGGGAAAGCAGTGTTCACACCAACCTCTAAAATCTTCTTTTTCACGAACCCAAAAGTGTTTTTGTTGAAGTAGTAGTATAAGCCATCTTTCAAGTAACATTGTTGAACTTTTAACACCTCTTCCTTTTATTTTCGGGCAAACTCACTAGCCAGAGTTCCATAAAAAGCGGCTATTTTTCCGTCATTTCACAGCATTTCCAGGTGGGTATACCATACATACATATATTAGCTTTTGGATAACTTTTCTTCTTCTCTATTTGCCACTGAAAATATTTCACAATCATGGGTTTGATCCAATTTTTACTCTCTCTCTGTTTGTGCTTGCAAACATATGCACTTGCAGATCTAGGTGAATTAATTGATATATTTGTAAGTTCTCTGTTTATATGCTCTCTATACATACTCTTTATTTTGCGTAGAAACGTTCGTATTAATGCTTCATATGCTGGGGTTGGCTTTAAAATAGTTAAAAAGGTGGATTTTGTGTAATTAGTTGAAGATTTTGTGGTTGAGTTGATGTGGATCTTGGTGGAAATTCACTCTTTATACGTGTAAATGCGCATTTCCCTTTTGTGATTTATTTTTTGTGTGCCTGGAATCAGAATATCCGATATTATTATCATATTATTTCATGTTGATTGAGAATGAATTTCAATTCAAGTGAAGGATAGTTTCTTATAACCTTGACTGTAAGGAATTTGGTTGGTATCAAGTTTGAAATTTGTGAGATTGTTTGCCCTATATGTTTCTCTCTTTAGAAGAAGTTGGAGGCTTGGTGAAGCTCAGGTTTTCGTGTGAGGTTTAAGGATAGCCATCATGTTCAGGCTATCGCCTCGTAGGAACCAGAGGAATAAAGGATTTAAGGTTAAGCATGCTCTGCAAATATGTCTACTGCTTGGTATCTGCATCTGGCTGCTTTACCAAGTCCAGCACTCCCATAAAAAGGCTGCATCCTATGGAGCAACCACAAACATCTCACAGAAAGAACAGAATGGGAATGATCTTAATTTCGGGAGAAAGGGCCTCCTACCTCGAGAAACCAAGCCTGAGGGGCATGAACATTATCAAGAGAAGGGAGAGGAAGATGAGCACAGAGGGGATCTTGTAGATGGAGATAAGGAAACAGAAGAAAGCAAAGAGAATGAGACAAAAGAAGAAGAGAGGGAACACAAAATAGAGAAGGAAAACGAAAAAAAGGAGATGAAAGAAGAGGAGGCAGAAGAGAACAGAGAGAAGGAAAGCACAGAGGGTGATGAAGTGAGGGAAAATGAAGAAAATGGGAGTGGTGAGAATAAAAAGGTGGAAGGCAAAGAGAAGGAAAGTAAAGAGGAGGAGAGAGAAGGAAGCAAAGAAGACAAGGAAAGCACAGGGGGGACGAAGACAGGAAAGTGAGGGAGAATGAAGAAAACGGGAGTGGTGAGAATAAAAAGGTGGAAGGCAAAGAGAAAGAAAGTAAAGAGGAGGAGACAGAAGGAAGCAAAGAAGAGCATAGTGGAGGGGAGATTGAACAAAATAAAGAGAAGGAACTCTTAGAGAAGGAGAGGGAAGAAGAAAATGGGGAGGGCAAAGAAAAGGAAAGTGAAGACATGGATATCAAAGTAGAAGAGGAGAAAAGCAAAGAGAATGGAACTGAAGAGACCAGGGGACAAGAAATTGAAAATAAGGACACTGAAGATAGGGAAGCTAAGGATGGAGAGAGGAACCAGAGCCAAGGGACTGAGGGTGAAGAAAAAAAGAGGAAGGAGAGCAAAACAAATAAGACTAAAGAAAAAGAGAAGGAAGATGGCAAAGAAAATGAGAGTAAGACTGAGGATTCAGGTTCATCAGACGGACAGGTTCACGATGCAAGTGACAGTAACTATGAAGGTGCAAAAGAGAAAAATCACGAGGGAGAGAATTCTTCCAGTGAAGTGGTTCAGGATTCCCAAAATATGACCGAAACTGAGAAAGGAAGTATGGATAACTCTAATGAGAATCAGCAAAACAAGAACTGGGAGCAGAATGAGTTCGAGGGGAACAGTACCATTAGCAGTTGGGTGACCAAGGTAAATCAGAATGAGTCTGGCTCAAATGTGAGAGAAAGCAAGACAACTCAGAACAATGATTCTTCCAATTTGATGGTCAATGAGGGGAAGGATAACAAGACCAATCTACTGGAGATGGTGGAAGGCTCCAATTCTAGTACAGCTGGGACAGCCGAATCTAATGAACAACATGAAGAGAATGGTGATGCTACTCCATATGAAAACAAAACATTTGATAGCACAGTTCCTAATGGAGAGAAGACACATACTGTTTCAGAGGAGCAAACCAACAATATTGACACCGTGGTCAGTGTTGAGAGATCAGATTCGAATTTAACTTCTTTTGCAACAACTGAGAATGTGGACTCACCGAATGTAGAATACAGGGATTCTTCTAATAATATTGAATCTCTTGTTGTGGATGGACAGAACATCAACTCAAATGCATCTGCAAAAACAGAGAATGTTTCTGTAAGTTCAAGTGGGAATGAGAATACTGACACAGTTCTGAGCCAGAAGTCCGATACCAATTCTGAAACAGGAGCAGAAGGAAAGGGTAAGTCCTCCAGGGCAGATGAGAATGCAGAGTCAGATGAAAACAAATCAGTTGATTCTTCCAATTCTTTGGTTCCTACAGATGAGAAAGAATCATTTTCAATCACAAATGAAAACATTGAAGCTGGACAGCATGATCAAGTTGAACCGTCCAGCTCTTCGATTCCCCAAGAAGAGAAAGAAGCTCGCACTGACTTGGGAACATTGCCAGAGACCGGAACTGGCGGGAGCAACCATGAAGATGCAGTAGCAAAGTGAAATTCTAATGAGTTGGTTTCTCCAGCCATTAATACTGATCAAGGTATTTATTTTAGATCATTGATTTCTCATTTTGTGTAATTGCAAAGGTTTGTGTGAAGTTCAGTTCTTACTACTCATTTTCTATGTCATTCAGGTAAATAAAGTAGGCATACAATCAAACCAGATGTTTATCAGTCTCTCGTGCTCCTTGTATTAATGGAGTCACCATAAGAAGGAAATGATTTTGGATATGAACATGCAGTAGATTAAATTACTTTCTGGTAGTCTTCTACATCGGCCCAACTGCATGACAATTGACAACATGATTTTAAGCAGTTCGTCAAATTTCATTTTGCTGCAAGTAACAGTAAAAGAAACAGATTAACAGGTAATGAAACATGAAATGGTTGAATTGTATACACATCCCAAAAACAATATTTCTCTAAAATCAAGGGGAAAAAACATCCCCCCGTAGTTTTCACAAGTACTAGTTGATGCACATGTGAGGAACCGACTGTACAATCATTATTCACAACTGTACAATCTTGATCTGCCAAGATTATCTGTGTTTCTTTACCTCCTCCTCCTTTATATGCTCTATAAGGGGATCTGGACCTGCACATCATAGGAAAGGCGTCAAATGGAGAAATAAGGAATGCTCCTCAGCAAACACTGATTATTAGAAAATCAGCCAAATGAAACGGCATTAAAAATGAAGCATATATAAACATACGTACCCCATGGAAAGTCCTTTTTATGAATGCGGTATGACTTCTGCATTCATAATCAAATACAAGTATGCAATACATGAAAAATGAGAAACAAGCCATATTTTCCACTCCAATCAAAGTACAAGGGAAATCATATACAGAAAGTATAGATATAATTATAACCAGAGAAATTCAAATAAGTAAAAATAAAGCTTACGGGAGGCTCTTCGTAGTAACGAGGATGAGTCAGATTACCCTTGTACAGATTGTAGATTGTGTAAACAGTGCATGTAGCAATGCCTGCATAAGTAATCTTCTCCCATTTTTCCGCCTCATCTGAAAACCAAAATATCAAGAATTCGACGTACATATGACGCATGAAGCTCTAAAGGACCATAATCGTTAATACAACTATGCGTGCATATCCTATACCAAAAAATTGTTATCATGAATACAAATATACGTACATATCCTATATATATATATATATATATATATATATATATATATATATATATATATATTGTGGATATTGCGTATTGTACCCGGTTTGACAAAAAAACTATAGGAAAGTGTGACCCGAATAGCAAATTGAGGCATCTTTGAAAGTTTTCACCTCTGTTGGATTTGAGTTTCAAATTTGTTAGAAAATAGGAGTATTTGAATTCTTAATTTGGTAAACTTTTAGTCACTTGTTCTCCTCTTCCTTTAATTTATAGTGCTATTTGTAATATCTTGATTTTTATCAATAAATTTTAGTTCTGTGTATTCCTCTTATGATTTAGGCTTTCAATCTATGAAGTATGGATATTTTGTTAAAATCGACATACCTGTATCAGATATAATAATTGTCGAATACTTGAGTATATATATCGGATACACATTTTATGTTTTCGATAATAATTAAATATTATGATACCTCACAAATAATTTTGTGTTTAAGCAACATATATAATTTTTGAGTTAAATTGTTAATATTTTCTTTCGAATTCACACATCATACAATACATTAATAAAAATTCATATTACTTTAAAAGCACATAAGTATATTTTAAGTATTATCTGCAATTACATGTCAAAAGAGTATAAAATAAATCTATTACATTATAATCTTAGTAAAAATTACTTCAAAATAAACCAACTCGGTAAATATTAACTTTAATTCATTCCCTTGACTTTGTAAATATACCATAGTGATACGATATATATTTTCTTGAAACTAAAAAGAATTACTAATTTTTTTTATTGTGTTAAAGAACTATCAAAATATATAAGTATTAAACTGGTTATAAATAATAAAAATATTAAATATATTTTATTATTGCCATATTTTGATTGTAACCGTATCTTATTTTTTAAAATTTTATCATATTATTGAATTTGTATTATACCCATATCGCGTATCCATATTTATATCGGTCCTTCATAGCTGTCAGCTGACTCAACTTAGTTTATGACCTTGCCACCTGGCCTTCAGCAGAAACTAAGTTCTTTTCAACTTTAATGCTCTTAAAATGCATTGTGCTAAAGCTTATATTTATGTACGCCGAGTCATCACAACGACCGTCACCGCGTGCGACTGGAAGCTCTTTCTATGGATCAAATAGTACACCAGAGTTATTATTTTGTTAAGTTATTTCTTTGTATTTTCATGCCTGACAATATATAAAAGCACAAGTACAAGGAATATCGATTGTACGATGGACAAGTAGCTTTTAGGATTATAAACATCCTATGAATTTTTTATATATGATGGACAAGCACAAGGAATATCAGTTGATAAAAGAACAAATAATAAGCTGTACAAACATCAATATACGCGAGAAACACACGAAGGACGAGGAAAATATACATATGAGTGTGTGTGTGTTGTTCATATAGGCGTCGTCGTGATGGGCACAGGTAGCAAATGACCTCTTGGAAGCATTAGTTACCCGCAGCCAACTGCAAAGGACGGTTCGGAGGCCAGATTTTACCATCGCCGTCGTTAGGGGTGTCTATGGGCCAGGTTACTCACGGATCCTGTTATTCGACCCAAAAAAAAAAAAATTGGTCCGATAGTTGGCCTGCCCGAACCCGAGCCTAATATCCTTTAAGAAAGGGCTTGAGTTTACCTCTAAATCCATTATCCAGCCCGAAAGCCCGGCCCAATAACCCTCCCACATGTCCGAAGCCCAAAGCCCATACCCGCCCACATATGTTTTTTTTTTATCAAACATATATGTTTATGTTAAGAAGTGGAGACTTTAGATTTTAAGACTGATGTATATTTTTTCATGTATTAAATATTCTACCTTTTCATGTACAAAAGTTTTTAATGGGTAGAATTGTGCAAATGATAAATAGGTGGGTAGGTGTCAATCTAGTTGGGATGTACTCATTATATAGTGATGCAATTTCTCTTCTATTCATTTGTTAAAATTATTCACTATTTAATTTTTGTCTATTTTGATTTTGACTATATTTTTAATTCAAAAATATAATATATAAAAAAATTAAATAATATTGTATATTTTTTCAATAGGGCCCAATAAAATAAAAGTACCCACAAAATCCGCCCGTCAACCCCGTCCAATAGGTGACAAGCTGGGCTGCGGATAGCTTATCTCAATCCGAAATTCGGCCCGGCCCGTCGCTAGCCCGAGTACGGGCTTGGGCCTACACTTTCCAAGCCCGACCCGAAAAAATTTTGCGGGCCATGGACAACCCTAGACGTCGCCATTTTCATCCCTCTCTCTCTTGTCCTTGTTTGTAGTAGTGCATCTCTTACTAGCCCCTAGGCGAAAGGGCTCAAGAACGCTACTATTCTGACACCAACTAGAAAATTCATAATATAAACCATGCTAATCTCACAGGCTATGCAAATATTTTGATTTGATGTTCCATTTTAAGATTAAAATTTTGAAAATTCATTTTCAAATTTTGCCAAAATTAAACTTTAAAATTTCTTTTTTTGAGTAAATTTCAAATTAACATCAATGTTGCATCAAATTTCAATGTAACATTCACTTTTATCAAATTAAAATTAAATTTCATCAAATTAATACAAAATTTTATTCAATTACGTGAAAATTGATCTTAAATTTTATAAAATCAGTGTCTATTTCAACATATTAATATTCAATCTCATCGCATCGATATTCAAATTTATAAAATTAACACAAAATTAATATGCAATTTCATCAAGTTAATCCCAAATTAACATTTAATTTTATCAATTTAACATCTAATTTATTAAATTAATATCAAATTAACATTCTGTTTAATTGAAAAAAAATTGATAGAAAACACTGTTGAATCTAATTAATACTAACAGGATGTTGCCTATTGCTTTAAGCTTATTCTCTATGGCCAAGGGTAAACTTGACAATTCATAAGGAAAAAAAGTCATCATATCACCAACTTTTTTATTTGTCAATGAAATATGCTGTAGTTTGTGAAACGTGTGTATAAACTATAGACGTGTGCAGTGATATTTGAAAAATCAAAGAGGGTTGATATCTCAACTATCCTACTATCTTGCTTACATACCGAACAAATGTTGCACCTTATAAAAAAGCGACTCTCCACACAAAAGGATATGGTGTCCCCAAGAGACTACTTTTCATAGGATATTTGAACTCTTAGACCCACCTGAGAGATTATTATAAACCAAGAATTCATCAGAAATAGAACACATAGAGGATCTCTGACTTTGTCGAATGAGAGATTTTTAGGGCACAAAGGGTAAGGATTGATGTAAAGTGCCATTTTCATTTGAGACTGCCATTAAGATCTCTCCAATCATGGTATCCCACATCAAATGACCAAACCACAGCAATCTGATGAAGGGGACAGTCGCAAGGAGAATTTTTTCATTCACACGAGGCAGACAAAATGGCAGGAAGACAATAAGCCTCCTTACCATTGTCTGTCTCAATTAACCAGTTTAGGAATGACCACCACTAGCTTCATGGTGTTTCAGGGATGAATATTTGAAGAAGGCTATGCAAGAGAGCTGTAACCCAATCAGCCTATGAGACACATCACTGCAGGAAGAGATTGAGAGCTACTGAAGAAATTGCATCAGGCTGGGCACACGGCTATGCTGCCACGCCCAATGTGTAATATGCTGTTTAAAATGCTATATAATACTGTCCTACAGCTTTTGCTTATTTTCCGAGTTTAAGAGGTACTTCAAATGCATTACTAGCCTTTAACACCCAGGGGTGTCTCCCCAGTCCAGTGAACGGCTGCCTGCCTCTTACAGGCTGGGTGTGACAGTGTTAAAATTGTTGATTAGTACTTCACATTACTCCAGGGCATCTCATCTGGTGGCCAGGTAAGGCGGTAGGTGGAAGGCGGAAGGCCAAGGGCTTGCCAACTCTGACACAATTTTGCAAGCTCAGGCAAATCCTCGCAGGTAGTAGTGTCATTCGGCTTGAAGAGCTGGAGGAACATAAACCAACACCAGAAACACCACAAGCAGCCAAGGGCTATATAACTTGGCCATTGCACAACTAAATTTCAACCCATTAGGTCATGCTGGGATTTTGTAGCAGTTTTTGTGAAGCACTGAAGGATCTAAGAAAGCATTGCAGATACCAAGGCATACCCTATTCAGCCACACAACCTCAATAGCTACCATTAATAAGCCGATATTCAACAATTTCATGTTTATGGTAATGACAAGGAAAAATACACAAATTCTCCATCAAGACCTGATGCATCAGGAAAAACTCTCTCATCAAAATCTAAAAGAATTGGGAAAAAAAAAACAGCAGCAGAAAGGTGAACATAGAAACTGAAAGAAACCAAGAAGGCCAAAGCACAAAAAGAATTGAAAGAAAAGAAACTAATCATTTCATCCAAACCTCAACAGATACAGTTTTCAGTCTTCCTCATTGTCTCTTTGCATTTAGATCACTCAAATTAGAAGCATATGTCACTCGATTTTTCTTTTTCCTTTTTTTTTTTATGGGTTTGGGAGAGAGAGAGGGGGAGGGGTGCATCAGTGTAACTGCATATGGCTGAATCTAGCCAGAATAGTCAGGAAGCTGGACAGTAAAATTCCTATAAGCAACACCCCCAAGTTTCATTTTTCCAAATATTTTATCGCAGTACATTCATGATTTACCTTATAATTCACTGGATTCAGAATGAGAGTACAATAGAGATTTATTATTACCTATCACCGCCATATTAAGTCAACATGCTTGTTGGTTAATAGTTCAATGGGGTCCAATTCTAGTTGATGCTTTACAGAAAACTACACTACAAAATGATATCTAGAATGCTGTCAACAGCATTTGATTTGGTTCCAATGAGAAGGTGAAGAATTAACCAACTCAGTTGATAAAACTTGAAAAATTACTACAAACTTGTCTGATACCATTCCCT